CTGCATGACATTAAAGGTGCATTTATGCAGCTATTTGGGTCCAAGAATCCAACCAACATACAGTGCTCTTGTTTTACCTACCTGCACTTAACACTTGCCAGGAAATCCTACCAGATTCAACAGTCAGCAAAACAGAGCACACTGTGTTTTTAAAATAACGCATGTTAAAACTAAAATAAAGAACAAATGTCAGTGCCATGAAGGCAGTTAAAGCAGTCCCTGAAAACAGCTCTTTGAGGTTTGCCCTCTWTACAGAAGCCAATTTTCACTAAGCAGCAAATTAGAGCATAGGGGAACCAAGATTATTACATCTAACTGAAGGTACAGAATAAATTTAGATGGGTGGAATTTATTGGATTACTCTGTTTAGGGAATAGAAGTTAAACACCTCTAACGAAGCCRTGAGATCCTTAATGAAGATGAGACTAGTTAAGGCCTCAGTTCTACATCTCATCCCAAAGAAGCACATTTCCAAGATCATTATTACATTCAAATTGAGGTTTTCCCTTTTCTCCCATCTGCCTTTTAAAACAAAATCCAAATGAACGCTCCAAGAAAACCTTACTCTAAGCTGAATAATATAAACCACATCCCTGTGAGCTATGAGGCTATCAGCAACCTGCTCCCGTGCTATGTTTGAAAAGACACATCTGAAAATTCATGTTGTTCATTTGCAACACATAAAAGCTACTTGTGATGCCAGCACCAAGTAAACAGCAGAGAACTGTCCCCGTTCTGTTGATCTGTATCATACATCATAACAATATGCCTGTATTTCTCAAACACTGCATATCTTCTCCTCTGCCTGGTAGTAATCCTACATAACAAGTGATATCTAAATACATATTTTGGGAAAGATAAAAGCTCCAATATATGACAAGGAATATTATGACTAACAGAGAGATTATATTAATCATGAGTAAAAAAGATGATGTTTGATCCTACTCGTGCAGAAAGTTTTTTAAAATTTTTTTTTTAATCTTTTAAATGAATTTCTATCCTCGGGAAAATGATTAAAACCAGAAAAGCCTTGAGATGTCAGCTGGTGACATGTTTTTCTTCTTTATCTTTCTTTTTTGTTGTTGTTGCTGTGAAAAAAAAAAATCTGAGAGAATACAGCAAAGTGCATCATTAACTTCTTATTAATTTTATAATACAAAGGCAATTCAGTTAAAATAGTAGTGCTGCAACTTTAAATTACAGAACTAGCTTGGTATTTAATGAGAGATTTAGCACAGCGGGGTTTCTGTTAAATTAAGTTGTGCCTTCACATCACAGTGGGAAAACAGGTGTATATTGGTTTAGAATTATGGAAATGTTGACTAATTCCAAGGCTTGTAATCAAACAGCAAGGCACCCTGCAATATTTTCTTCCAAGATTCTGCATTAATCATTTATGTCTGGTCTTATTTTCTTCATGTCCACTAAAAGGGTGCAGCTCAAAGGAGCAGATCAAGGGCTTGAGTTTTCATGTCTCTGTTAAGGATGAGGTCCAGGCAAAAAGCAGAGATAGAGACATAGCACTGCAGTCTTTGCTCAAAAAACCACTTAAATTAAACTGAACATGCAGCCTTGGAAGGGGGATAAATTTCACACCAAAGCCCCACTTTTTTGGGTTCACCGGTGCTGATCCAAAAGCTGCTTAGCGAGCTCCATGGAGCAGGTCTGCATTTAAGAAATGAAGAGAATAAACCCAGAAATAATCCAGACTCTGCCATTTAACAAAGACAGAGCTATTCTCCTCCAAGTCTCTGCAGCAGTGTGGGTTACACCTGAGTGCAGGTAAAACACAGACGAGTTCCAACAGCTGCAGCATCCCTGCAGCCCCCTGCTCCTGCCTCTGCCAGCTTTCCTTACCTTACACTCATAAATCACCTGCCTTTGCCTCGGATTTTCTTCCTGGGCTATTTAAGGATGCCTTTATGTGATGCATGGTGGCATTACAGCAAAAGGGGAAGGCACRGGTTCTTTTGTTTCCAGGAGACACCTTATTACTGAACCTCCCACTGACCATGCCTTGCTCACTGGAAGCAAGATGACTCTTGATGCCCAAATAAAGCTGATCCAAATTCATCCCTTGTAGTGGCTCTGCCAGAAGATTGCTCCCATTTGCTCTGAGACTATTTCACACATGGCCCTACCCACTACAGATTTGGTAAAAGCTGCTTAGCAGGCGAGAAGAACAATACAGAAATTGCTAAAATTCATACAAGGAGAATCCTGCTAACGTGAAGCGTTTCCAGCACGTGTGCCACAACTTTAAAGTGTGCTTAAATGCAGTTATTTTGGGAACACACAGATGCAGCATAACAGTATCCCAATAAATGCTGAATGCCAGTATGCTGCACGTGCAAAATATAGAATCTGTTATACAATATATGCTGAATCACTCTGAAAGACAAGTAGTAGAACTGCACCCAAGTTGCTTCTCTTTACTAGAGGCTTCCCTTTAAAAAAAGTAAGTATAACAGTTTATCTCATAGTAAAATCTAAACATCTGTGGCAGTATCAGGAATATTTTTAAAGCCAAAGCCCCAGAGTCATGGGAATGCAATGTCCACATTTGCTTAAAAGAAAACTTTTTAACCTCACAGCCAGGACAGGAAAAAAACAGCTTGAAAAGATAAGTTTTAAATGGCAAAGAGCTAGAGACAGCTTTAGAAAAAAAACCTGTATTTTTGAACCTTATTTTAAAAACATCAAAAGGTACACTARTATCTTTAACTACAGCCTGCTCATTAGCTGCGCAAAAGTGGKGAGAAAATGATGCCCTGCTCAAGTAGGATGCAATGCAGAGCTGAGCCAGCTTTGCCACCCTTACATGTGGAAATCAGAGCAGGAGTCTGCCCCTCTGAGTCGCCCACTGGGATAAACAAGAACTCTCAAAACACAGCAACCAGCTGGAGGGGCTCAGGGAAGAGCAGAGCAAAGAAAAGGGAGCTGGATTTGTTTAGCCTGGAGAAAACGAGGCTGAGGGGGAACTTTCCAMTCTCTGCAGCTCCCTGAAAGGAGTTTGCAGCCAGGTGAGAGTTGGGTTTTTCCCCCTGGCAACCAGACAGGCCTCAAAATGCACCAGGGGAGGTTCAGGCTGGACATCAGAATGAACTTACTCACTGAAAGGGTGGTCAAGCACAGGCTACTCAGAGAAGTGCAGGTGGAGACATCATCCCTAGATGTGTTCAAAAAATGACTGGATGTGGCCCTCAGTGCTATGGTTTAGTTGGCATTGTGCTTGGACTCGATGACCTTGGAGGTCTTTTCCAACCTTAACGACTCTGTGACTCTCTTATTCTGTGACTCTGTGACTCTGTGATTCGGTGATTCTGTGGCTCTGTGATTCTAAAAGGACCCTGCCTGTTTTTAAGGGGGGTGATGTGCAGATCATGTGGCAGAGTTCAGGGATGCTGCCTGGGCAGGGTGCTGCTCCAGCATTTCAGGATCACCTCCATGCTGCCCAGCCAGCCCACAGAGCCATTTGATCCAGGGCATGATGGCCAGCAATTACCCAGTGAGTTGTTTGGGAGCAACACTCAACTGGGCTTGTCCAAGGGCTCAGCATTTTCTGGCAGYGGGGATGGAAACCAACAACTGGGACTGTAGAGCCAGAGGATGCTGAGATTCAGCCTGAGCTCCAAAGGGTCTCAAAGGGAATTGTGCCTCAGAGCTTTCCCTGCTCTCTGGACGATGGCACATGCTAAAATGCTGAGACTCTCAGGGAGTCTTGACACTTGCAAGGTCTTGACACTGCCCCTTGCAAGGCCCAGCTGCTGGAAAACATCACTTGAAGTGTCACAGTTTTCTTTTTTATTTTCCTGTGGCTGGCCTTCCTCTGCAGATTTCCTACCACCATTCCCAGCATTTTCACTTGCAAGTGACAGAGGACTCCAGCTTTACCTCGGTGAATGAGCGGGGCTCACAGGTAATGTCCAACACACCTCTCTATGCTGGTCATTTCCATGACACATGAGGTGGYTTTCCTAACAGGAAATCACTTGCATGAAGTGAACTAGGCAGATATGATTTTTCAAACATAGTGTCCAATTTCACATACAGCACTTAGGAACTGAAGGAGACATTGGCCATATAACTGCCAGTCCAGTCAAGGCCCTATTTACTTACACTGTGTATTTATTTATTTTTATATCTAAAACATAAAACATAAAACACTAAAAACATACACTTGAATGCTTCTCCTRCATCAAGAGGGAATATRCCTCCATCCTTCATATTTTTTCTYTTCCATCCTCAAAGTATTTGGCTAYGTTCAGCAGAAAAAATSAAAGTAGTGGTACAAGAAGATTTCACAGTTAAGACATGCAATTACCAGTGATATCCTTCTCTCTAGCCCTGTAATTTAAATATAAAATACCACAGGAAAACACAAGATACAGTTTGTACAACAYAACCACAGCTGTTCTGAACTCTGGTGTTGGTGGGAGCAGGGGGTGAGGAGAGATGATGTGAAGGGACAGGATGACTCTGTGCAAGCAGCTACACACTCCACAACAGCCTGAGATGTGCAGCCAGGGCATTTAGATTGTTTAGAAAACATGTGGATAAAGGCTGCATTTAACAAAGTTGGCCGTGTCTTGTCTTCTCCTCTTCTCTCCCTTTTCAAACATGAAAGGGAGAGAAGAGGAGAAGCCCCACATGAAGCCCCGGTGGTGCAGTGGTTTTGTGCCGTATGTTTTCTCCCCTCCCTCTCTCCCTCCCTCWCCCTTTAAAYACATTTTAATAAAGGATCCACACTGCACTTTGGCCACTGCCTCTGGTCAGCAGGAATCAGTGCTATTTCCAACCAAGGGACTTTCTAGAGAACAACAACTGCCTTTGGACATGATGCTGTTGCTACAGGACTGGCACCAATACAGGACACACATCAGCTTAGCCACCCTCCTGGCAAGAGATCAAGGTCATTTGGGGCACCAAACAGCATTGAGAGCAAACGGGTTATTTTCCTGGCAATAAAATAATTAGGATCAAAAAGTAAATGTACTCACCCCAGGTAAAGTTTTAATATTGTGCAGTGCATTCTGTGCCTCAAGAGCAGCTTTTCTTGTATAAAATGTTACGAAACAACAACCTATAGAGAGAAATAAAAAGCTTTCAGAAATTAGTGAGTATGATTTGTGAGAGTACAATAGGGAGGGAGAAAAATCAGTGGTTGAACAACACATTATGAGAGCTGGAAATGTGAATTATCCCGAGGCGCCTGAATGACATGAATAAAAGAAACCTTGTGYGGTTTAAAATAAAAAAGTTCCCCCCTGTGCATTGCATCTATAGCACACCTACACTGTAAGGGAACTGTAATCACTTAGAAATTGTTAACCAAAATCCAATTGGCTTTGTACATTGTAAATAAGGTTATATTTTTCTGAAGGCTCCCCATTATACTTTGAATATAAGCAACATGGCAAGCTCAAGCAGCAGGAATTCATTGTTACACCCCAAGCAGAAAATCAGGCTAAAGCAGGGCCTTATTTAAAGGGCCTTACACAAAAGGTTGGTTCTCCTCTTTCTTTGAAACCAGGCAGGACTGGAGGTAGGACACTCATCTCAGTTTCAAGAATGAAAAAACTGCTACAGGTGAATTCACCACTGCTGGGATAGCGGATGGTTGGCAGCATTGAGGGAGGCTTTGATCCCCCTGCATTTGCCTGATTTTCAGCCAAGTAGTGTTTTTAGTTGCCTTGATCCTGGAGTTTCCCTTGTGACAGCATGGTCCAGCCAGGTGGTCAGTGGTACCAAACACGGGTTGCTGTCACTTTTTCCACTGCAAACASGTGAAACAGCTTTGGCTGAGCACACACAACCCAGGCAGCTCAACACCAGCCACAGGGAGAGCTCAGGGCTCACAGGCAAATCCTCAGGGAACAGCTACAACATCACAGGCATGGGACAAAAAGCAAGGACCAGGGTTTGCCCCATGGCAGAGAAGTCTTCTCCTTGCAGATGAGATGTTTGCTGCAGATGGGGTGTTTGGTGACCCAGCTGCCWTGGGGAGAGGGAAAATATTCCGGGTAATGCTGCTTGGGGGGCAGAAGTGGCTACTGAAGTAAAAACCTCCTGCATKATGCAGGTTTTACTGATGAATCAGAAAACAATTCTATTCTCTTAATCACAGCCAGAGATTTGTTACAACTCCAGAGAAATGTCAAAACCAATCAGTAAATAAAAGAAACCCCGGCTCATGAGCCTCGGTGCTCCCTTGGAGCGTGACACAGATAAAATAATCTGTGCTTCAGGCAGTGAGCAAAGATGATGACTGTATCAGCTCCCAAATGCTGGCCAAGGTGAAACAGCCCAGCCCACCTGACATTCCTGCTGGTGCTCAGCCCTGCAGCATCCCCCAAACAGCAAGGGACACAAGGAGAGGGTGTGCACAGCAGCACACAGTAAACAGCACAAAGAACCGTGTGCAGGTGGCCCAKACCACACTTTGGAAGGAAGGGCTGAATCCAGAACAGCCCCTCTGCTGCCCCTGGCTTGGCTCAAGCTCTGCATGGCACTGGGAATGCTCCCCTTGGCTCGGCAGCCAGGCTGGTGACAACCATTACCTCTACACCGAGCAAAGGTGACCGTGTATTCCCAGCTGGAACACAGCAAGTTTATCCCAAGCACAGAAAATCACTTGCAAGACATGGGCAGGAAGGTAATGCAGACTTAACACAGCTGGGAGGAATGTTTTTCATACTGCCAACAGGTTCTTTAAAATTTCACACGTTATGATGGAGATGGTTTAATAATTATTTCAGGAAACRGAACATTGTTCGCAGGGATATGTGCTACAGACAGACACAGCCTGTTAAGGTTTTTGTTTCCTGTGAGTGCTTCTAAACCTGTCTAGAACCCATACAATTTTCCACTGGAAAATTCTGGAAATTTAAATTATTTTACCCCAGATGAAAATGAAAAAAAAAAAAATCCAAGTTTGTGACATTTAATAGTRCGACTTTGTGACAACATTGCAATATTTTTCTATGTCCTGCCAKCTGCCCCAAGTCTATCTTCTATTGTTTCTTTATTTGGTTTATTAGCTTTTTAATATAAAGTTTTTTCACCAGGAGAGAGGATTCAGAGGGGRAAATATCAAACTGTAATCAGAACTTTGCAATTGCCATGTCCTTTTCCATGGGCCCRAAGAGTTTCATTTTAGATTTCAGCTCTGTGGGTTCATTCCGATAAGGAGAAATTTGAAATCTATTGGTTTATCATTCTTGGCAACACTTGAAAGAACTACACTTGAAAGATGAATATGCTGTGAAATACCCTTTAACTGGTCATTTTTSGGAAGTAATAGCTCAGGAGAGAAAAATGTTTCTGTGAATGAGACCTGGAAGAAACAGTAGCTTAATGGGAAACGTGCAGATGTTTCAGGCAGGTCATCAGACCCTGACAAAAATAGAGACTTCTGAAAAAAGCTGACACAGACTTTCAGACTGACACATCTGAAAATGCACACAGATAATTTTTTTTCTCTGGAAACATTTGGCTTGTATCTTCTTAAATAAAACAAACCCCACAACAAGAGCTGGCTTGCTGTGGTTTGAGGGGGGCAAGGACACCCACTCACGGACACCTGAATTTGAAAGTATCTGCTACAGAGGTCAGGGCTGGACTCAAAAAAGAAAATAAGAGAACAGAGAGGAAAAGAAAAGGCACGTGGTCCCCAAGGAAATGCTGTAGCTCAGCCTATGGATTTTCCAGAGGTGCTGCAGCCATGTTACACAAACTGCATTGAAGATGCCTCCAGAGTAAAATCCTTTTGGGTCAGTACATAGAAAAAAGTACCTAATTCAGTCTTTTCTGCAGGAATATTGGAGGGGAAGAAGTCTGTATTAAAGGACAGAGCTAATCTGTGCTTTAGGACTGGTAGCTGTCCRTTGCTGAAATTGCCAAACAAGTGGCCCAGCTGGAAAAGAAAAAGTATGTTTCCTACTGAAAGAAAAAACACAACCCTCCCCTTCAGGCCCCTTGCACGTATAATCTCTGCTTCATCACCAAACAAACTCGACAGCAGCTTGAACCACAACTGGACTTTTCTGACATCCAAATAACTCAAAGCCTGRCAGTGATAACCTCTCCCCTCCCAGTCAGGACAACTTAAAAGGTGAATTGGTTTGTGGCCACGGTTCTGCTGATCCTCAGCAGCCTGAAACACAGCCCAGTTTAACTCCACGTGGGTGGGTGTACTCCTGCCCACAGGCACTGGAGCTCGTGCTGCCAGTCAGTGCCTCCAAAGCAGCAGATCTCCCGCGCTCTGCTAAGCTGGTTGTGCTCTACTTGGAACAGCATTTACTACGGCGTGAGGCATCGCTTCTTTGTACCTTGAAAAAAAAAAAAATTGCTGAATGAATCATGCAGATCCCTACAGTCCCTTAAGGACATCRGCAACAACTTCATGGCTATCCTGCCAGATGCTTGAACAGACTGAATAAAACCTGCCACTCCGTGCTGCTCGGCGTTYAACGGCAACAAATGGGATCCCTGAGAAACAGCAGCAGAAAACGGCCCCGCTTCTCCAGGCGTCTGACGAGCAAACGCTGTGCAGCGGACACTACAATGCTCAGCTTCAACACCTCATTAAAAAAAGGGAAAAGATCTCTTACTTCAGCTTGTTTTCACTCTCCCTCTCTTCTCCCCCCCCTCCCCCTTCCCCTTTTTGTTTTTCTTTTTTTCAAAGGAAATTTAGTGCCAGAGAAAGACCTCAAGGTCCCAGCCATTGGGAGAGAGTTGACACATTCAATTCTCCATGACACATTCAATTCACAAGCCCTTGCTCAGGCTGCCAAAGGCACCAATTAGCACCAGTGGTGGAGATTTTATTTATTTAATTTCCACAGAAACCTGTTTAGCAAGACAGTGACAGGGACAAACAGCCTCGTGTATGGCTAGAAACAGCTTTACGTGAGTCACTGTCAAAGATGGCAGCAATGGATTACAGGGGAACCAAGCCAGGGRTTCACTGAAGCCGTCATTTAGAAGTGAGGAATGGGAAAAAGAAGAGCAAGTGGTGAGGGCACACCACTCTAGCCATGATTTTCTGCTGGCAGCAAATTTTGGTTTCTGGAAGACATTGTGGAATTACAACAAATTGCAGTTTTCACCATCAAACTTCCAGAAATGCCATTGCTCCTGTAAACAAGAGGATTTTTTCAAAGAGCTGYTCGTGACCCCATGCAATGGGGTTCCTCTCTCCATGTGACTTCTTCTCTATGGCCCAAATTTACCTCCCAGCAGAGCAGTCAGGGCTTTGTTAGGCTGCAGCATCCAGCCCTATGACATCTCCAGGAGCTCCACCATGCCATTATTTTTGCCACTTTCTCCCAATTCAAACGCAGACTAATTATGCCACGAGAGCTGTCTGCATTCCTAATTTTGAACAACTGACAAAGGGAAGCTCTCCTCCACTTGAAGACATGGCTTACTCCATCCTCGTTGGCATTTAACGGCACTGGGATCTGTGTAAGAGGCTTAATCTCTCAGCCAGGATTTCATGCCTGAATGAATACAGCAACCTCCATCTTGCTTCGGGTGAGAAAAMGTCTTTTACAGCTCCCTAAACCGAATAGACAATTCCTGTGTTAAAGTTACCAGGAATTACATGTGTGCATCAACATGAGAAAATAACCCTTGGATGTGGACAGGCATTAAAACATGCTCTGCAAGATTCTCTGAGGTTTTTATTTGCTTGAAGGAAAATATTCTGCAGTCTCCCAGGCCTGAAAATTTAACTTTTGGGAATTAAAAGAGAAAAGATACAGGAGGGGAAAAAAAACCCGCCAAACCCAACCTATATTTGTTGGTCTGATTTATTAGTTTCTTTAGTTTTCAACTGTCAAAATTTGTCAGTTTGGATCTCTCCTGTGCTGTGCATATTATCACCTGCTGCCAGTATCTGAACCCTAACCATGGGGTATAGAAATACAAGAGCTTATCAGGGAGCCTGCAAAGCCTGCAACAACTTAAAAGTATGAAATTTGCTTTACCTTCTAGACTAATAAAATAAACACTTCAAAACAGCTATAATGATTATCTGATGATTGAACTCTGTATTCTTTTAGCAAGTAATGGAATCCT